TAGGGTGCCCCCACCCTGTCCTCACAGTGCTGGAATTAAAAACACGTGCCTGACTTTTTACATGGGTGCTGAGGACTGAACTTGGCCTTCATGTGTGCACAGAGAGCATTTTACTGACCAAGTAGTCTCTCAGGTCACTTATTTTTTGGGGGTGGTAATAATCTCACCAATGGCATGCACACAAAAGGCAAGCACCATTCCACTGAGAGGCCAGCCCAGGCTCTGACCTTTCTGTGCTTTGTTGAAATATGGTGTCCAAGCCGGGCATTGGTGGCACACGCCTTTAATCCCAGCACTTGGGAGGCAGAGCCAGGCGGATTTCTGTGAGTTCAAGCCCAGCCTGGTCTACAAGAGCTAGTTCTAGGACAGCCTCCAAAACCACAGAGAAACATTGTCTCGGAAAAAACAAAAACAAAAACAAAACAAAAAAAAAAAACAAAACAAAAAAAAAAAGAAAAGAAAAGAAAAGAAAAGAAAGAAAAAGAAATATGATGTCCAAACCAGGCATGGTGTGGTTCACCCCAGCCATCCCAGCACCCCAGAAGCTGAGACAGGAGGATTGCTGTGAGCCTGAGACAAGCTTGGACTGGAGAAGTTCTGCTTCAAAACAAACAAACGAGAGACTGAGGGTGTAGCTCAGTTGGCGAGAGCTTGCCTCGTGCAGAGTCCTGGGTTCCATGCTCAGCGCCACATGAACACGGTGTGGTGGTGCACACTGCAATCCCAAGGCTTCTGAGCTGGGAGTAGGATGATCGGAAGTTCAAAGTTGTCTTCAGCTACATAGAGAGTTCAAGGCCAGTCTAGGCTTCTTGAGGCACCATCTGCAAACAAAACAAAACAAGGTGGATCTCTGTGAGTCTGAAGCGGACTGAGTTCTAGGACAGCCAAGGCTACACAGAGAAACCTTGTTTTGAAAAAACAAAGCCAACCTGTGACAGAGAAAAGTGCTTGATTTTAAGCAGCCAGCTTGGTGAGCTCTGAGATACGAAGACCCTGCTGGCTCCCTCAGGTCTTTCCTGGTAAGTGCTCCTCAGAGGTGCTTCCCCGGGAGACTCTGGTGACCTGAGCACGGGGTCTGAGCGCCTCGGGCTCAACCTGTGGTCTCTACCCCTTTGGGGAGTTGAATGGCCCTTTCCAAGTGGTCACTCACATACCAGATATCCTGAATATCAAATATTTACATTATGATTCATGTAGCAGTAGCAAAACTACAGTTATGAAGTTGCAACAAAATAACTTTATGTTTGGGGGTCTGTCTCCACAGTATAAGGAACTGTATTAAAGGGTTGCAGCATTAGGAAGGTTGAGATCCACTACCCTAGGGAGAGGGGGCCTAAGCAGTTGGTTTGGTTTGTATTTTTGTGAGGGTTTTTGGGGGGGCAGAGTGAGACAGGGTTTCTTTGTGTTGCCTTAGCTGGCCTGGAACTAACTCTGTAGATAAGGTTGGTCTCAAACTCAGATCCATCTGCCTCTACCTGTGTTACCATCTGTAACCCCAGTTCTGGGTGCTCTGATGCCTCTCCTGGGCTCTTTGAGTTCCTACACACACACACACACACACACACACACACACACACACACTTTGTTTTTGTTTTTTGAGACAGGGTTTCTCTATGTAACAGCTCTGGCTGGTCTGGGACTCACTCTGTAGACCAAGGCTGGCCTCAAACTCACAGATATCCATCTGCCTCTACTCCCCGGACACTGGGATTAAAGGCGTGTACCACTGCTGCCTGGCTTGTTTTTGTGAGTTTCTAAAAAATTATTTATGCCGGGCAGTGGTGACACATGCCTTTAATCCCAGCGCCCAGGAGGCAGAGGCAGACAGATCTCTGTGAGTTCAAGGCCAGCCTGGTCAACAGAGCTAGTTACAAGACAGCTAGGGCTACACAGAGAAACCCTGTCTGGAAAAACAACAACAACAAAATTATTTGTTACTACTGAAACACGTGCTCTAAGGTGTGTGTGGACAGAGGACAACTTTCAGGAGTCCCCCTTTCCTTTCACAATGGGTTCCGGGTATTGATCTCAGGTTGCTGTGGCAAGTCCTTTTTATGCAATGAGCCTTCACCTCAGCTCCAGTGACTGGTTTGAGGCAGGATCTCTGGTAGTCCAGGCTGGTTGCAGACCTACTGTGTAGCTAAAGATGACCTTGAGTTCCTGATCCTCCTGCCTGGACCTCTCAAACCCTGCGGTTACCAGCCTTTGTCACCATGACCAGACGAGTTTGCTACGTTCTAAGCTCCGAGTATTACATTAACAGCTGTATGTTTGCATCTGTGTTTTGTTGATTATTACGTGATGCGTGTGCTCAAAGATGATCCGTAGTCCGTAAGGCTAAGATTTCTTTATTCAGATAAACAGCAGCCCAAACACAAGCCAGAGAGTGCCCAGAGGTCGCAAGCTAGCGAGGCCAGAGAGAAGGGCTATCCACGTGTGCACAGTCCCTTAAGAATTGTCCCTGCATCGGCGGATCTCTGTGAGTTCGAGGACAGCCTGGTCTCCAGAGTGAATGTCAGGATAGGCTCCAAAGCTACACAGAGAAACCCTGTCTCAAAAACCAAAAACAAAACAAAACAATTGTCCCTGCATCTGACCTCCCCTGTCCACACCCTCACGGGCGTGGCCATGCACACCTGTATGGGCTACTAGGAGATGGGGCTACAGTGTCATCCCTACAATGTTTGGCCACCCTCACTCAGCCAGCAAGACTCAGTGGTGTGTCTGAAGCCTGACTTTGTTTTCACTGGTGTGGTGTACTTCACTGGGGACATACCACACTTTGGTTATCCTATCCACTGATAGGCTCTTGAGTTTTTTCCAATTTGCAGCCACAGTGCAAAGTCTGGACACTGGGGCCTGGGCCTTCCATGGCAAGTTATTCTCTTTCCTTTGTGTGTGTGTGTGTGTGTGTGTGTGTGTGTGTGTGTGTGTGTGTGGTTTTGCTGGGAATGGATCCTAGGGCCCTGTGCATGCTAGAAGAACCCTCTGCCACTGAGATACATGCTCAGAGTTTGTTCTGTTCACTGGCTACGCA